CTCCACAGTCTCTTCTCATTCACACTGCCCCGCCCCCACCACCACTAGAGGTCTAACATCTCAGAGAGGGCTTTCTCTGGAATGGGCGTGGTATGTGGTTCAGCTAGACATTCTAGACTCATCATTACCCGTGTAGAATCCATGTTCCTAAGATTAATGTCAACATAGCCTCCTGGGTAGAAGCTAATCCAGAATCAGAATATCTGACCCCATTATATTGTATAAAAGATGGAGGAGAGAAGGAGAGATGCCTAAACTCTTTTATAAAAGTCACAATAAAACTGGAAACAATTAGAAGAATCTGAAATGTATGCAAAAATAAAAATGTTTTCCTAAAGGCTTTTGAGGATATTCATGTAAATCCAAAGGACAAGAGGGAGCCAAGAAGTTAAGATCTCTTGGGAAAAGCAGTGAAATTCAGCCAACAGGATTTCACCATGTCCTGGTAAATTTGTGTAAACTTGGTGCTTGAGGTAAACCAAATAATTAAAGGTTATGAAACCACTACTCAACCATTTACATGGTCCCAGTTACAAAAATACAACATCTGAAAAAGAATATTTTAGCAATTAGTCTTATATCACTTCTACATTTATACCTATAAGTCTTTGGAATTGAAATATATTCTTGACAAAAACAGAATAGACTCATGGACCTATAAGAACAACGCTGAATTGCATTTACATAGTTTTTAAGAAAATGAGACAGTGTTCTGATCTGTGGTACATAGGGTCACTATGAGTTGGAACCAACTCTATCGTACCTAATAACAATAACATTTTTTTCCTATTCTATTATTCTGGTTAAGGTCAAACTTTTCAGATTTAAAAGGATTTATTCTGACATAGAGATTATGTTTCACATAATCAGCAAACCGAGATATTTACATTTCAACTATTTTCTAATTTTTGCTAGGGTGTCTCAAGTTTTTCACCATAAATAGTTAATTCAGGGGTTGATAAGCAATAGCAGAGAGAAAGATGAGGCTGTCTCTTCCTGTAATGATTTATAATCTCAGAAAGCCTAAGGAACAGTTTTACTGTGCTCTATAGTGTCACTAGAGTCCTGGTATGGCACTGTGGGATAAAACATTGCACCACAAGGTCAGTTTGAACCATAAGGTCAGTGGTTCAAATTCACCAGGCACTCCTTGGAAACCGCTATGAGTCAGAACCGACTTGATGGCACTTAACAACAACAACAACAACAACAACTGGGTCACTGCAGAGTCCTTACGAGGCTCTGTAGGATAAGCACTGAACTGCTAACCACATGGTGGGTGATTCAAACCCACAAGCTGCCCTTCATAAACTCTAAATAGTTTCCACTCTTGGCACTTAACAACAGCAACAACAACAACAACAACATAGCTATGAGTCAAAATGAATTCAATGGAAGTGAATGAGTGAAACAATAACAAAACAAGTTTATTTTGAGAAATACAGACAACATTCTCAATGACCATGACTCATGTTTGCATTAATCCTAGCTGGCCAATCTGGTGAATGTACCAGTCCTTTGATTTTTCAGTCCACGTAACAATTCTTTTAATTTTCAGTCCACATAGCAATCGGGGCATGGATTTAAATATCTGTGGTCTGATTTTGGTCTAGATTGTCCATTTGTTGCTGTTGTCGATTTCAACTCATAGCGACCCTGTACAGGGTTTCCAAGGCTGTGAATCTTTACAGGAGCAGAAACCCTCATCTTTCTCCCACGGAACAGCTGGTAGTTTCGAACTGCTGACCTTGCGGTTCCCAACCTGATTCATAACCACTACGCTACCAGAGCTCCTTAGATTGTCCATAGTTATGTCAAAATTTCACCTCAGTCCAATTTCCCAAGTTTTCCCTAAGTCAAGTGCTAGGAGAGCTAGGACCAAGTTGCGGTAGAGGAATGCAGCCTCTGAATTAATCTGCCTAAGCAGCCATGTTTCAGAACCACAAATTTGAATGGCACATAATTGTCCTTTATCTCAGGGACAAGATAAAAGACATAGCCCCTCAAAGTTCTGCCAAAAACATAGCATCACCTCGTGCTGGAAGTGATCATGTCCCTATGTAGGATTAGGCTCTTGACACTGTCTGTCAATCATTCCTTTACCTGTATTGAGCTATTTGGCACCACCTTCCCACTCAGGCTGCTTTTGTGAGAAGAAATACAAAAGTTTACAAATTGTACTTTTATTGTTGGACATTTTAGATGTTCCAATCAGACTGAACGAAAATGTTGTTGTTAAGTGCCATTGAGTAAGTTTCGACCCATAGCGACCCTGTATAACGTAGAGCGGTTGGTGGGTTTGAACCGCTGACTTTGTGATTCAAATTGACCTTGCTGTCCAGTGCATTATTCTGCAGTGCCACATGAGTACATATAAGTCACTTCTTGTTATTGAGGGCCACAGAGTTATTTCTGACTCATAGCGACCCTGTATTGGGTTCCCTAGAACCAGTTGGTGAATTTGAACCGCCAACCTGTGGTTCAAACGACCTTGTAGTCCAGTGCTTGTCCTACAGTGCCACACCAGGACTCCACATGTAGGTGACCTTAAATGCTTCAGAATGGTACATAAATATAAACAATTCAACTTTCACAGTGAAAACTTAGCCTCAACTAAACCATCTCCTTCTTAGTCCTTCAGATTGTTCCCCTGAATATTTGTTTCTCTCCTTCACACTTGGTAAGATTATGAGTCAAGCATGGGCACATACTTGCTTTGGCCAATGAAAGTGAGCTGAATTGTTGCTTCCATCAGGAAGCGATTTAGAGCCAGTTCTACTTAACCACATTCATTTCTTCCTCTTCCACAGTGCTTGTCACTGTTCTCAATGTGGCTGCCCATCAGCCTAGATCCTTAAGTAAAGATAATACACAACAGTGGTATACTGTACTAAAAAAATAAATGGGTTACTTGAAATCATTGAACTTTGGGGACTGGTTGTTACTGCCATGTAACATAGTTGAAGCACCATAACGTGACGGAAGCACCACCCCTTAAAAGAAAGAAATATGGGACACACTGCGCTACGGCAAATGTTACTATAATGAAAAACAAGATGTTTGAGGCTTTATCTATTATACAGCAGCATATGTATTGTTAAGTGTCGAGGAGTTGGTTCCAATTCATAACGACCCTGTATAGGGTTTCCAAGGAACAGTTGGTAGGTTTGAACCACCGACCTTGCAATTAGCAGTCCAGTGCTTATTCTACAGTGTCACATCAGGATTCCAGTACACACACACATGCGTGTGTGTGTATATATACACATATATGTTGTAAAGTACCGTCGAGTCGGCTGCGACCCTGTATAGGGTCTACAAGGAGGACCTGGTGAGCTTTAACCGCTGACCTTGCAGTTCAAACAGCTTTGCAGTCTGGCGCATTAACCCACAGCGCCGCACCAGGACATACGTGTATATATTTTTACATATATATGGTAGTGGTGGTTATGTGCCAGTTCTGACTCATAGCGATCCTGTACAGGGTTCCCGAGGTTGTAAATCTTTACCGGAGTAAAAAAGACTTGCAGTTCAAACAGCTTTGCAGTCTGGCGCATTAACCCACAGCGCCGCACCAGGACATACGTGTATATATTTTTACATATATATGGTAGTGGTGGTTATGTGCCAGTTCTGACTCATAGCGATCCTGTACAGGGTTCCCGAGGTTGTAAATCTTTACGGGAGTAAAAAAGCCTCATCTTTCTCGCGCGTTACTGCTGGCAGTTTCGAACTGATGAACGTGAGACTAGCAGCCCGATTCGTAACCACTACGCTACTAGACATTTATTAAACTGCTCTCCCACCAAAAAAGAAAATACAAAAAAAAAAAAGAAGAAGAAGAAGAAAGAAAGAAACTTCTTTGAAGTAATTGGATAACTTAAATTCTTTAAAAAAAAAAAAATCCTCCAAGAAAAACAGTTTCCCATCAAAAAAAAATTTGACCCATTTGTCAAAATTGCATACAGAATTCTACTTCATTTCTAAGTCCAAGTGCATTAATCAAATATAGAGCTTCAAAGGGGCTTCATTGTAAGTGACCCAATAGACAAATAAATTAGCTGCCAATGGCTCCGTTGTAACTGAAGAGGGCCAGGCTGACCCAAGGGAAGAGAACTAAATCAAAAAGTGAAACTTCCAAGCAAGAGCTGCATTTGAGATTTGAAACAAACCACAAAGCCATCCTACCCACTCTCATTTCCATCACTGCTAAGTGGGAGCCAAGCACATGTGTGTTTATTTACTAATAAGAAGATGCAAATGATCCTGCATCTGATTGATTTCTTATGTGCTCCAATCATAAAAACGTGTTGGAAACACGTTTGAGTGCAGTGCTCAAATGTGCCAGTTTATAAACCTCTTGACACATATTCTACTTATGACCTACAAAAATATTTCCCTCTCAGTGTAACTCTGAAGGGTTTTCTGCTTTAGTGCAGGGAATCACCACTAAAGGTTTCTTATTTAAGTGGGTGAGGAGCTGTCCGTTTTTAATTTGCAAAGCTTTTAACTGGTGAGTGAGTCAGGGATGATGTCATATGTTATCTTACAATTGCTGGTGTGATTCTCTCTTGCTCACTGAAACCATTCCCTCTGTTTCTGTGGCAGACAGTCTTGCCCGGGTTTCATCCTGTCTTCAGTTTCTTCTCAGCCAGCCACAGGCAAACAGCCCCACAGCAGTGGATGAAACAGGAAGTCTGACAGCTTGAGTCTGCAGTGGGACCCCTAGTGTTTTCCCACTCCATGTCCTGGCATCGTTCCCCACAAGTACAAACACACACACACACACAGCTCCCATTGTTGCAGCCTTCCCAGCCCACTGATCCTAATATGGAATGCAGCAGGAAACCCATGATTTCCTGACACTCGGCAAGCTGGAGGAAGCAAGGGGAAAACTCCATTAAAAAGTCCAGCTTTCCTCCATGTTAGATGTGAAGTGGAAAACGGGGAAGATTTAGCAAAATTCCATCAGGTCCTGAACCAGACTGACAAGGGGAGAACAGAGTGAAGTCCTGAGGCTGCTGAAGTTTCTAGACTGCCAAGAACCCTCTAGAACTTCTGTGACAATGAGTGTTTCTTAATTCAAAGCGACAAGCCCTTCTCATCATTCCCCCAAGTGTGTGCTACCTTTCTTGACCAGGATGGTGAGCAAGAGGGCATGTACCAGCTGCTTTGACCATGTCTGTGTGAGCCAAGGTACCCAAAGTAAGGCAGAGTAAACTCCAGTCTGACTCTGTTTCCCGTCGCTTCATGTGCTCTGGCAGAAGCCGGAGAAGCTACAGCATCAGGAGTCCTTGCAGCTGGAGCCACAAGAATGAACTGCAAAGAGGCAAATGACAACAGCTGTGCCTGCCGTGGAAGCGACGAGAAGAAGATGTTGAAGTGTGTGGTGGTGGGTGATGGTGCCGTGGGTAAAACTTGCCTGCTGATGAGTTATGCCAATGACGCCTTCCCAGAGGAGTACGTGCCCACAGTGTTTGACCACTATGCAGGTAAGAGAGGGTGGAAGACCTGTCTCCACACACACAGGGAGCGAGGCAGACGGGCCTGGTTTAATATCTGTTGTTACTGAAAGCCACCCTGGCAGGTAGCTTGACATAACATACAAACAAGGAGTTTGCTGGAATTGTTAGGAGAATAATTTGTACATCAATTTATATTACAACACCGTCCCTCAACCCTTAAATCAAATGAATTAACACTGGAGGCATAATATCTACTGTCTTTTAGGCTTTGGTGCCAGAGATGTTAACTTATCATGTGCCTAAAGATTGATTTCTTTTTTTTTTTCTTTTACTGTGAACAGTTTTTAAAATGTAGTATAATTGCATTACAATTCTTTTCTTCAAAAAAAAAAACCCACAAACTCCGCTAGATACACAACTGGCATGAGAACTATTCTGGCCACTTTTCATATAGTTACCTCCTGCCACTTATAAACGAAAATGCAAGAGTAATAGATACCAGAGCACTAGCTTTTCTGTAACAATTGCTGCCGTAATACTATACTTTCGTTTTCTTGGTGTTGTAAACCAAGAAATATGGGGTGTGTGTCGGAGGGGGGGGTAATTAAAGGGCTTTAGATCTCTATTCATCTACATCTTGACTTTTTAAAATATTTATAAATATATATATAGAAAAAAAAAAGTAAAGATCAAAAATTAAATCTGGATCATTTTCAAGTATGTCCCCAAAGGATAAAATTGGGCATAAAATATTTTAAATCAAGACATTTAAGATACGGTAGCCACGATTTATTCTCTTAGATGACTTAGATTCTTTGAGTTTTTGAACTTTTTAGGCATCAGTGTGGTAACATTATCTAGAGCTGTCTGTTTTGAGCCTTACTTTTCCTCTTAATTTCCAAAAACAAATCTTATTAAGATCCTCAAAAGCAAGTTTATGACTTTCTTTAAGCTTAGACTAATCTAAATTGTGTAACTTTTTTTTTCAACAAAGTGAATCGACATGATAGATTATCAGAGATTTGAGATTTTATGAGGGGGAAATTTCTCTTCCTTCACCTTGGCTTTGAGTCAGGTTTAAAGAAGAGGAAATGGCCTACAGGAAACTTGTGTGAGTGCTTGGTTTGCTATGTGGATGTTTGGAATCCTCTTTTTATAGGAAGTGGCTTCTTTTCCATAGTTAAACAATTACCTAAGTCCCCTCCTCCACCGACATTTTCTTGATTTATGGCATTACTACAGAGCAGATAGGGAAAACAACGTAATGAAAATAATATCCAGTTCCCAGCAGGTTTCTCTATATTTGCACAAGTTCAGAGGAAATGTTAATACTGACTTTTTCAGGCTTTCCTGAAAATATAATGACTGCTTACAGAAGAATATTTTAAGGAGAGAACAGAATAAAGAACAGGTAGGCTTTGATTTTGAGAGGGCAAACTAATTATAAAATGAGAGGACTGTACCTTGAGAAAGTTAAACAGATTCTTCACATGAAAACATCTCAGCAAAGATTATTTACTCTAGAGCTTCTTTTTGTCCTAAAAGGGAACTCTGACTGGTACCTTACTTTATGAGCCTTTAGATCAAATGTGGGACCTCAAGTCTACTAAACAGAAAGACTTCAAAAGCTTGTGAAAGTTATGAATCCAAAGTCCCATCTGTTGAGAGGACCAGTTGCAGTATAAGTGTACAGAAGGAAGAGGAGAAAATCGTCTTTAGAAATAAAGTCAAACTATTAAAACACACACACACATTAGAAATCAAATAAACGCAGAACCGCAGTTATATTCAATTCGATCAAATTATTTTATATTTCAATTATGTATATGCTTTCTGTTGTAAGTGCATCAAAACATCTTGAGTTTTGACTACTCAATCAAATTACAGCCACTCTGTATCCAGTGCAAGTTCCTGGGTGGTGTAAATGGTGAATGTACTGAACTGCTAACTGAGAGGCTGGAGTTTTCAGTCCACCCAAAAGTGCTTCAGAAGAAAGGCCTGGTGATCCACTCCCCCAAAATTCAGCCATTAAAAACCTTCTGCTTGGAAACACATGTGTTTGTTATGAGTCAACTCAATGGCAACTGGTACCTGCTGCAGACAGTAGGCATGCCTCTACATCGTTGTTTGAGTTATATCATTGAAATCACAATCATCTCATGTGCTTTCAATTAACTTAAAAAGAGAATGAAGGCATGTGCTGTTACATGTAATGAAGTGAAAGGATCTTCTCCATCATAAAACCTCTGGCTTTTCTCATCACTAATCACCCCACACACCATCTGATTGAATATGAATCCTTAGGCAGTCATATGAGAATCTCAACGTAAAAGAACCAAATGCACTCTCGTTATCCAATCCCTGAGTCCCACTGACCCATTCTAAAATGACAATCTGCAGCTGAGTTATTGAGGCTTCAGAAAATTGATGCACAGCTCAAAGCGAGCCTATCATTTAAAGAAGATTTTTCATGAATAGATGTCCATGACAGAAAAGAAGAAATATCATAGTAAGATAGAGATAGATGGAAGTGCTCAAGATGGTGAGTTTTAGACCCAAGTTCTTACCCTGACTCTGCCACTTATTAACTGTGTGACCTCAAGAAAGTTACTAAGCCTCTCCATGCCTGTTATCACATTTAAAAATCATAAATAAAGGCATTTGGTTCATGGGTTGTTTGTAAAAAATAAAATAAATCACTACATGTTAAGTTGTTAGGACAATATCTTACATAGGGTACTAAGTGCATGGCAGTTCAAACTCACCAGCTGCTTCTTGGAAACCCTATATAGATTTGCTATGAGTCAGAACCAACTTGATGGCACTTAACAACAACAGCAACAACAAAGCTATTATTAGTAATAATAAGATATGTACGCTACCATACCATTCTGAAAGGGAATTACATTTCAATTCAAAGATAATGACAACAACCAAGAAAAATATGATTCAACTAGTATCCTCTAAATGAAATGGGATGTAATGGAGTGTATTCATTGTCCTTAAAAAATAGTTATCATGCAATAATTGACAGATAATTGACATGGATTAATAGTAATGGGATACTGGGATGAGAAATATCGCTTTTATATGAGTGACTGTGAAAAAAAAAAGTCAACCAACAGGTAGAAAGAATTGTTTTAAGGTTTATGAATCTTGGTTATTATCCCTTCTTCCTATCCCCCAGAAGCTAAAAGTACTGCTCCTCCATGTGGAATTTCTTGACTCCTCAAGAAGAATTCCTTGCTCCATCCATCTTCATTTCATCTCCAGAGATTTGTTTGCAACTCTAAAACTCAACTTCCACTGTTTTATAGAAATTTATCTTTCCTTATTTGCCCATTCCACCTAGGCTCTGTTATCCTAAGGGAAAGGTCCAAGTCTTGCCAAATCCAGTGGTCACTTCTTAGTCTTTATCGTAGTTGATCTACTTTGAGCATTTTTTTATGGTTGCTGAGTCTCATTTTTGGAGCACTTTTTCTTCTCTTTATTTCTATGATACCATATTTCCCCATATTGGCAAATCTTTCTCCACGCCCTTTGCTACTTCTTCATTTCTCCCCAACCACTAACTGTTGTCATACTTTAGTGTTCAGGACTCTTTTACTCTCTATTGATTCATATCCTCTGGTTGATTATCTGACACTTATCCCCTATATTCTCCCCATAAAAGCCTTTAATTAGCATCATTATTTCACACCCACAGAGTCACTCTTTAACCTGCTATCTTTTTTTTTTTCAACTTTTTATTGTGAATTAAGTTTATAGAACAGAGTATCGGTTTTACATTCAACAAATCACATACTTTGCTTCACTACATGGTTGCAAATCCCCTCCATGCACATACTTTAATTTACCTCTATTCACTATAACCACTGAATTCCTCCCTGTGTCTCCCAACACCCCCAACTTCCCTCTGCCAACCTCCCTCCAGTTGTATATTGCTGGCCCCATCACCCATGTCAAAGAATCATTTCCTTCCCCTTCTATAACCAGCAAAAATTAAATTGTTTCTTTTATCAAGAAACCGCCCCCCTTTTTTTGATGTACAAAAAACAAAAACAAAAATGCATAACCTGCTATCTTGCTGTACTTTGCTTCATGGCATTTTAACATTCCCTGACATTATGTATTTATCATTTTAAACACTGGAACTTAAACTCCATGAAGGCAAGGACTTTATCCTACTCATTGATATATACTAGCTGCTCAAACAGAGCCTGGCATATAACAGACTCTCAATAGATAGTCAAAATGGCATTTTAAAATGTATGCTCACCATGGAATGGTCAACAATTCAAGATCAAAAGGGTACTATTTCCCTGAGGACAAAGATGAGAAGGGTTGAGAAGGAGAGTAGAGTGGGAATAAGAATCATGAGAAGGATGGGGTATCTGTTGTTATGTGGAAGAGATTGCAATCCGTAAGGTAAAGCAAAGTGTATGATTTATTGAACGTAAAACTGATGATGTGCTCTGTGAACCTTCACTCAATTTACAATAAAAAATTTCAAAGAAAGAAATCATCAATATCTGAAGGCTAGGACTGAGCAAGTGGAATGAAGATAGAAAAGCTCGTTTGTGCATTTTTTTATGAGTGTGCCTTCGAACACATCTCTGGACCCAGATTTCTACTCCCATCAAAGGATAACTCAAAATGCTTTAGTGACCTTTTAAACTTCCACAACTTACCAGGGAACATTCACATTTCTTCTCATATGCTGTCTTTAGATTTGAATATTGTAGCAGATCCTTCACTGGTAAAATATCTTTAGGAATAAATGTTTCACATGACATGTGGCATCAGGAGAAGACTTAGTTTTGAGTTTAATTACTTTGCATTTTGAGTTAATTAGATTGTGTTCATGGCCTGTATGTGTGTGAGAATACATGCTGTGAGATAATGCAATACATGCTGTGAGATAATGCACTGGACCGCAAAGTCGGTTTGAGCCACAAGGTCAGCGGTTCAAGTTCACCAGCCGCTCCTTGAAAACCCTATACAGGGTTGCTATGAGTCGGAGTCAA